AGCTGCAGCAGAACAGACATCCATTGCTGAGGTCACTTCTACAGCTGCAGTCACAACAGCAGGCGCAGGTAACTACAACAGCTGAGGAACAACGAGTCCTGTGGTGGATACAACTGTTGTTGATGTGGTAACAACAGAGGCACAGACATCCTCTGTTTAGACACAACAATCTCAGCAGATACCACAACAGCTGAGGGAACAACATCTTCAGTGGACACAACTGTTGCAGATGTAACAACCGCAGCAGAACAGACATCCATTGCTGCAGTCCACAACAGCAGCGCAGGTACTACCACAGCTGAGGGAACAACTAGTCCTGTGGTGGATACAACTGTTGTGGATGTGGTAACAACAGAGGCACAAACATCTTCTGTTGTGGACACAACAATCTCAGCAGATACCACAACAGCTGAGGGAACAACATCTCCTTCAGTGGACACAACTGCTGCAGATGTAACAACCGCAGCAGAACAGACATCCGTTGTGGAGGTCACTTCTATAGCTGCAGTCACAACAGGAGATGCAGGTACTACCACAGCAGAGGGAACAACTAGTCCTCTGGTGGATACAACTGTTATGGATGCGTTAACAACAGAGGCACAGACATCTTCTGTGTTACACAACAATCTCAGTTGATACCACAACAGCCGAGGGAAGAACTTCCTCTTTAGTGGACACAACTGCTGCAGATGTGACAACCACAGCAGAACAGACATCCATTGCTGAGGCCACTTCTACAGCTGCAGTCACAACAGCAGGTGCAGGTACTACCACAGCTGAGGGAACAACTAGTCTTGTGGTGGATACAACTGTTGTGGATGTCGTCACAACAGAGGCACAGACATCCTCTGTCGTAGACACAACAATTTCAGCAGATACCACAACAGCTGAGGGAACAACTTCTCCTTCAGTGGACACAACTGCTGGAGATGTGACAACCACAGGAGAACAGACATCCATTGCTGAGGCCACTTCTACTGCTGCAGTCACAACAGCAGTGCAGGTACTACCACAGCTGAGGGAACAACTAGTCCTGTGGTGGTTACAACTGTTTTGGATGCGGTAACAACAGAGGCTAAGACATCCTCTGTTGTAGACACAACAGTTCCCGCAGATACCACAACAGCTGAGGGAACAACCTCTCCTGCAGTGGACACAACTGCTGCAGATGTAACAACCGCAGCAGAACAGACATCCATTGCTGAGGCCACTTCTGCAGCTGAAGTCACAACAGCAGGTGCAGGTACTACCACAGCTGAGGGAACAACTAGTCCTGTGGTGGATACAACTGTTGTGGATGTGGTAACAACAGAGGCACAGACATCTTCTGTTGTAGACACAACAATCTCGGCAGATACCACAACAGCTGAGGGAACAACCTCCCCTTCATTGGACACAACTGTTGCAGATGGGACAACTGCAGCAGAACAGACATCCATTGCAGAGGCCACTTCTACAGCTGCAGTCACAACAGCAGGTGCAGGTACTACCACAGCAGAGGGAACAACTAGTCCTTTGGTGGATACAACCGTTGTGGATGTGGTAACAACAGAGGCACAGACATCTGTTGTAGACACAACAATCTCAGCAGATACCACAACAGCTGAGGGAACAACCTCTCCTTCAGTGGACACAACTGCTGCAGATGTAACCACCGCAGCAGAACAGACATCCATTGCTGAGGCCACTTCTGCAGCTGCAGTCACAACAGCAGGTGCAGGTACTACCACAGCTGAGGGAACAACTAGTCCTGTGGTGGATACAACTGTTGTGGATGCGGTAACAACAGAGGCACAGACATCTTCTGTTGTAGACACAACAATCTCGGCAGATACCACAACAGTTGAGCGAACAACCTCTCCTTCATTGGATACTACTGTTGCAGATGTGACAACCGCAGCAGAACAGACATCCATTGCAGAGGCCACTTCTTCAGCTGCAGTCACAACAGCAGGTGCAGGTACTACCACAGCTGAGGGAACATCTAGACCTGTGGTGGATACAACTGTTGTGGATGTGGTAACAACAGAGGCACAGACATCTGTTGTAGACACAACATCTCAGCAGATACCACAACAGCTGAGGGAACAACCTCTCCTTCTGTGGAAACAACTGCTGCAGATGTAACCACCGCAGCAGAACAGACATCCATTGCTGAGGCCACTTCTGCAGCTGCAGTCACAACAGCAGGTGCAGGTACTACCACAGCTGAGGGAACAACTAGTCCTGTGGTGGATACAACTGTTGTGGATGCGGTAACAACAGAGGCACAGACATCTTCTGTTGTAGACACAACAATCTCGGCAGATACCACAACAGTTGAGCGAACAACCTCTCCTTCATTGGATACTACTGTTGCAGATGTGACAACCGCAGCAGAACAGACATCCATTGCAGAGGCCACTTCTTCAGCTGCAGTCACAACAGCAGGTGCAGGTACTACCACAGCTGAGGGAACATCTAGACCTGTGGTGGATACAACTGTTGTGGATGTGGTAACAACAGAGGCACAGACATCTTCTGTTGTGGACACAACAATCTCAGCAGATACCACAACAGCTGAGGGAACAACCTCTCCTTCAGTGGACACAACTGCTGCAGATGTGACAACTGCAGCAGAACAGACATCCATTGCAGAGGCCACTTCTGCAGCTTTAGTCACAACAGCAGGTGCAGGTACTGCCACAGCTGAGGGAACAACTAGTCCTGTGGTGGATACAACTGTTGTGGATGTGGTAACAACAGAGGCACAGACATCTTCTGTTGTGGACACAACAATCTCAGCAGATACCACAACAGCTGAGGGAACAACATCTTCAGTGGACACAACTGCTGCAGATGTAACAACCGCAGCAGAACAGACATCCATTGCTGCAGTCACAACAGCAGGCGCAGGTACTACAACAGCTGAGGGAACAACTAGTCCTGTGGTGGATACAACTGTTGTTGATGTGGTAACAACAGAGGCACAGACATCTTCTGTTGTGGACACAACAATCTCAGTAGATACCACAACAGCTGAGGGAACAACCTCTCCTTCAGTGGACACAACTGCTGCAGATGTAACAACTGCAGCAGAACAGACATCCATTGCTGAGGCCACTTCTACAGCTGCAGTCACAACAGCAGGTGCAGGTACTACCACAGCAGAGGGAACAACTAGTCCTGTGGTGGATACAACTGTTGTGGATGCGGTAACAACAGTGGCTCAGACATCCTCTGTTGTAGACACAACAGTCTCAGCAGATACCACAACAGCTGAGGAATCAACCTCTCCTTCAGTGGACACAACTGCTACAGATGTAACAACAACAGCAGAAGAGACATCCATTGCTGAGGCCACTTCTGCAGCTTTAGTCACAACAGTAGATGCAGGTACTACCACAGCTGAGGGAACAACTAGTCCTGTGGTGGATACAACTGTTGTGGATGTGGTAACAACACAGGCACAGACATCTGTTGTAGACACAACAGTCTCAGCAGATACCACAACAGCTGAGGGAACAACTTCTCCTTCAGTGGACACAACTGCTGCATATGTGACAACTGCAGCAGAACAGACATCCATTGCTGAGGCCACTTCTACTGCTGCAGTCACAACAGCAGATGCAGGTACTACCACAGCTGAGGGAACAACTAGTCCTGTGGTGGATACAACTGTTGTGGATGTGGTAACAACAGAGGCACAGACATCTTCTGTTGTGGACACAACAATCTCAGCAGATACCACAACAGCTGAGGGAACAACATCTTCAGTGGACACAACTGCTGCAGATGTAACAACCGCAGCAGAACAGACATCCATTGCTGAGGTCACTTCTACAGCTGCAGTCACAACAGCAGGCGCAGGTACTACAACAGCTGAGGGAACAACTAGTCCTGTGGTGGATACAACTGTTGTGGATGTGGTAACAACAGAGGCACAGACATCCTCTGTTGTAGACACAACAATCTCAGCAGATACCACAACAGTTGAGGGAACAACCTCTCCTTCAGTGGACACAACTGCTGCAGATGTGACAACTGCAGCAGAACAGACATCCATTGCAGAGGCCACTTCTGCAGCTTTAGTCACAACAGCAGGTGCAGGTACTGCCACAGCTGAGGGAACAACTAGTCCTGTGGTGGATACAACTGTTGTGGATGTGGTAACAACAGAGGCACAGACATCTTCTGTTGTGGACACAACAATCTCAGCAGATACCACAACAGCTGAGGGAACAACATCTTCAGTGGACACAACTGCTGCAGATGTAACAACCGCAGCAGAACAGACATCCCTTGCTGCAGTCACAACAGCAGGCGCAGGTACTACCACAGCTGAGGGAACAACTAGTCCTGTGGTGGATACAACTGTTGTGGATGTGGTAACAACAGAGGCACAAACATCTTCTGTTGTGGACACAACAATCTCAGCAGATACCACAACAGCTGAGGGAACAACATCTCCTTCAGTGGACACAACTGCTGCAGATGTAACAACCGCAGCAGAACAGACATCCGTTGCGGAGGTCACTTCTATAGCTGCAGTCACAACAGCAGATGCAGGTACTACCACAGCAGAGGGAACAACTAGTCCTCTGGTGGATACAACTGTTATGGATGCGTTAACAACAGAGGCCCAGACATCTTCTGTTGTAGACACAACAATCTCAGTTGATACCACAACAGCCGAGGGAAACTTCCTCTTTAGTGGACACAACTGCTGCAGATGTGACAACCACAGCAGAACAGACATCCATTGCTGAGGCCACTTCTACAGCTGCAGTCACAACGGCAGGTGCAGGTACTACCACAGCTGAGGGAACAACTAGTCCTGTGGTGGATACAACTGTTGTGGATGTGGTAACAACAGAGGCACAGACATCCTCTGTCATAGACACAACAATTTCAGCAGATACCACAACAGCTGAGGGAACAACTTCTCCTTCAGTGGACACAACTGCTGGAGATGTGACAACCACAGGAAAACAGACATCCATTGCTGAGGCCACTTCTACTGTTGCAGTCACAACAGCAGGTGCAGGTACTACCACAGCTGAGGGAACAACTAGTCCTGTGGTGGTTACAACTGTTGTGGATGCGGTAACAACAGAGGCTAAGACATCCTCTGTTGTAGACACAACAGTCTCCGCAGATACCACAACAGCTGAGGGAACAACCTCTCCTGCAGTGGACACAACTGCTGCAGATGTAACAACCGCAGCAGAACAGACATCCATTGCTGAGGCCACTTCTGCAGCTGCAGTCACAACAGCAGGTGCAGGTACTACCACAGCTGAGGGAACAACTAGTCCTGTGGTGGATACAACTGTTGTGGATGTGGTAACAACAGAGGCACAGACATCTTTTGTTGTAGACACAACAATCTCGGCAGATACCACAACAGCTGAGGGAACAACCTCCCCTTCATTGGACACAACTGTTGCAGATGGGACAACTGCAGCAGAACAGACATCCATTGCAGAGGCCACTTCTACAGCTGCAGTCACAACAGCAGGTGCAGGTACTACCACAGCAGAGGGAACAACTAGTCCTTTGGTGGATACAACCATTGTGGATGTGGTAACAACAGAGGCACAGACATCTGTTGTAGACACAACAATCTCAGGAGATACCACAACAGCTGAGGGAACAACCTCTCCTTCAGTGGACACAACTGCTGCAGATGTAACCACCGCAGCAGAACAGACATCCATTGCTGAGGCCACTTCTGCAGCTGCAGTCACAACAGCAGGTGCAGGTACTACCACAGCTGAGGGAACAACTAGTCCTGTGGTGGATACAACTGTTGTGGATGCGGTAACAACAGAGGCACAGACATCTTCTGTTGTAGACACAACAATCTCGGCAGATACCACAACAGTTGAGCGAACAACTTCTCCTTCATTGGATACTACTGTTGCAGATGTGACAACCGCAGCAGAACAGACATCCATTGCAGAGGCCACTTCTTCAGCTGCAGTCACAACAGCAGGTGCAGGTACTACCACAGCTGAGGGAACATCTAGACCTGTGGTGGATACAACAGTAGTTGATATGATAACAACAGCAGCACAGACATCTTATGTTGCAGCCAGTACTATGTCAGCAGATACCACTACTGCTGCGGCGATAACCTCTTCTTCAGTGGACACAACTGCTGCAGATGCGACAACTGTAGCAAAACAGACATCCATTGCTGAGGCCACTTCTACAGTTGCAGCCACAACAGCACGTACACATACTACAACAGCTGCACGTGTAACAACCCCAGCAGAACAGACAACAACTTTTGGAGCCACTACTTCTTTTGGAATTACAACTACAATTGACCCGGCAACCACTGTCTCGGGTGTTTCCAGCACCTCAGGTTTGTAATGTTTCATTTCAGTTCAAAAAATTTGCTAAAGTGTTTTTTCCACATTTTTTGTTGTGTTTGCAATCTTTCCAGTTATTAAAAGATTGCTTTGTGCCTAAATGTTCTCTCTAATGGTTTCATTTTCACTAAAACAAACGCAAAGGGTTGTCATGCAGGTCAGAGTGGTAATTCATGGAAAGAAGACCACTTTTCAACACACACTGTATATGTCAGTTGTGCAACTGCAAATAAATACAGAACTGAAAAAACCTCAAAACCTGTAAGGAGAACCTTTTTGGAGGCACTTGAAAATTCTATTCCTGTTCTTAGTCTATTTTTTGCGTTCGTCCATCAAATTCTGGCTTTGCAGTAATACTTGTGCATTTGAGGGTTCTGGGAATGACACTTTAACTGATCACATCTCATTAATATATTAATATTCTCCCATTGTAAAAAAAAACCCCACACTTGCACCCTGGAAATATGTCATATTGCTGCTTTTTGCAGTGTCACTAAATGGGAAATGTTTTAGTTCATTGAGCATCTTTTATTGTGAGTTTTGACTTAAACTTCATTTGCTGAAAAGCAAAGTGTGAAAAAGGAATGATTTAGACCTGGCTTTACAAGCATGCCACATGCCAAATTTTATTTATCAAAAAAAAAATCTTTCTGAAATTAATGAGCACAGAGGCTAAATTGGTTTGTTCACAAGAGAACCCATGGACAATGAATGTTGGTGAATTGTTTGGAAAGCCAGGCAGTAGGCCTATCATAAAACACAGATGCTTGAGGAATTTATTTACATGACTCTCATTAAGACCTGCATTTGGCGTATATATGTACATTTTGATGTTTGGTTTCTATCTGTTTAAATTGTGTGTAATATGTGTGTTGTGGCACTTCAGTGTGTAGGATGAGATGATGTCTCCTGACTAGATCCAATACCTGATAGGTAAATTTTCATATGTCGGCCTTGTGGTATTCTAATTTGGATTATTTTGAGAAATTAAAGTAGGCTTTTATTATTAAAGTAGGAATTTATTGATGTTGCCTTTTTATTCTTAACTGATTAAATCATCCACTCAAAAAGACCGTCGACTCTAATTAATACAAACTCAGCTACACTAAGCCAAAATGTTTGTCATATCAGAACTTTGTATTTAGAGGAGTTCATTCCCATTTATTGTGCTCATAAATGCACAGTCTGGACAAAGGTTTCTGTTTCACTATAATCAGAATTTGTATTAACAGAGTTTGTAGTAATGAGGGTCGACGTTATCATTATTTTTGTGCACTTATATCAGGTGAAGGTATTATTGTCCATTCTTGTTTTTATTTGCACTGGTCAGTCCACGTTTTTTATATTTTGTTCAACATGTAGAACAGTTCAAAACCAAATATATCCTCCATACCACACTGGTAACACCAGCATTTTGGTAGCCCTTATATCCATTTATTGAATTGCTACATTACTGTAGCATATCTAAAAGTAGCTCTGCATTAAATTTATGGCTACATAAAAAGGTGGGATTCTCCGCTGAACCCGGACGTTCCGTGCTTGTCCCCATCAAGACACAATGAAAGAAAGACCGGTGCTATTTGGTGTAAAAAAAAAAAATATTTAGGGCCAAAATTTGGTCCTTAGTTCCAGTACTCATGGATGGATACATTAAATTCTCTGTGGTTTTATTGAACTACAAAGTGTGGGTACATAGTTTACATGTACCAGTCTGCACCTTTCAGTCTAGTCCTGAGTGCCAATGGTATGCAGTACGCATGAGCATTCCTCAACTGTATGGCGCAAACCTGTTCCATTGGAAATGGCACTGAAATCCATCCCATGTTTTTACTAATAGCAACCAATCAACAAAAAACACCACTTGTCTGAGAAAAAAAATAGGACATTGCACATTTTAACTCTTCACAATTGAATTAAATTACAATGCACAAAGTGATGTCTTGGCCCCAATCTCCACTAAATTTTGAACTGGCTTTTCCTTTTTATGCCCCGCCGGCGAAGCCGAAGGGGCATACTGTTTCTGCCTTGTCCGTCCATGTGTGTGTGTGTGAGTATGTAAACACCGGCAACCGTGGACGTAGGACAAAAGAATTGGGGCCAAACAAGATGTCCACAATTGACCGAACGTCCACGATCTCAATTCGTGTACAAAACCAATGAGAGCTGTCGCTAAAAGGTTAGTACAAACAAAGGAAAGAGGATTTGGGACAATGGGGCATCCACGATTGCCGGCATTTACACACGTGCGTGTGTGTGGGTAGGCATACAAAGCATTATGGGGAAGTTTTTTATTGTTAGGCAAATTAGGACCGAGTTATGGGGACTTTCTGCTGTCCCCATAGCATTTTCAGTCCCCACAAATACCTTGTGGCGACAAATGTGTGTGTTTCTGTTAATAACTTATTAGTTTGGACCCCATAAGACAAAGGCCAAGGTCATTAGGATTTAAAAAATAGCTTTTTTTTTTGTTTTTAATTTTTTTTTTTTTACCAAACCAGTATGCATGTGCAAATGTAATCACTCACTAAAATATTAGGGGGCCTGTACACTGTTTATACATGTTTTTTGTATAAACAATGTGGCTTCTCCACCCTTTGTTCTTGGACAGTCATATTTTTAATTGAAATAACAGAAAACAAACACATGTACGTGTACATGTATTACTAAAACTTGAGACTTGCACCGTAGTACATGTACATGTACATGTTTATGCAGCTCTGTAGGTTGTTCTTAGGATTTTTAGTCACTTCAGGACCCCATAGGCCAACTGTTCTCAGTATTAAAAATCAAAGAAATGATGTCATAATGATAACTCAAGCTTATTCACATAACCATATTTTCTTTTGATTATTTAAAAATTCTTATTTCCATGTAGGCCTTGTAAATGCTCAAAGGATTATGCTCAAAGGATTTGTATTTGAGAAATGTCTTGCTTAAGACTAAAGTATCCAGTCAGTTTGCTTAAATCATATACAATGACTTCCAGACAGAGAAGCAAAAAACAAGAATTAATTATGGGATCAATGGCATCAGTACGTTACATATATAGCCAATGAACGTTCCATGTGACCCAGGTAAGTTGATGTTAATAGAGTGTGTTATGTCATGGAAATAGGCATGGTTGCGGGGCATTTGTGTTTTTTAACACTACTTTTCTTGTTATATTTTTGTGTTGGGAGCTAATGCAGTGGTGAGGTGAGCTGTCAAAGACATCTGTTGTAGGCTATGTTGAAATAAGTGAAAGAGGGTTGAAGGTGGTGGTGTACCTAAAAAAGGAAATCAGAAGATAAAACCTTCCAAAGTCATTTTGAATGACTTTGAATAGTTTGAATAGTTTGTCTGAGGTCATTTGGAACAAGCCATTGCCTCGTTCTAACATCAGTTCTGATCATTTTGCAGTGCATGTTCAAGCTCACAAACAATGGACCATTTTCTATTAAAACAGTGGCGCATCTAGGATTTGGCTTTGGGGTGGGGGGGGGGGGGCTCACAAGTTTTTTTCTTCTAATTTTTTAGGAGGAAAATTGTTTTTCAAAAAAGTTTTGCCCAACATTTTTGGCCGCATAAAAAAGTCCTTTTTTTTGGGGGGGGGGGACTATTTTGATGTTGGTGGGGCCACTTACACCCCTATTATATTACTTGATAATAGGTCACATACATATCACCAAGGTCAAATCGTGGGACTAAAAAAAAAAAAATTGTGTCAAAATAACTGAGGATATCATTGTTTGGGGGTTCATTTGAAAAGTTATGTGCTACATTCGAGTGCATAGAATGGGATTTAATAATAACAATGTGAAACACTATGCATGCGCGTAGCAAGGTAATTTAGATTGGTGGTAGGTGTAAAAAGGGCACATTAAGCGTCGTTCCATCATCTGTGCTGAAAAGTACAATGTTTTTTGCAGCATCAGTACCATAAAAAAAGTGGCAGGGATTCTGCATGCCATCTTCCTATAGGGATGTTATTCAACGCTGATGATCATGGGTACTATTTGAAAATGGCAGCACAGCTTCTGACATTTGGGGGGCATTAAAAAAAGCACTTTTGGACAAAAAGGGGACTCATCAGGTAGACAAAAAGAGGACTGGTAGACAAGGCACTAGTGGTGGTTTTAATACCACTCTTCCCCCCCCCCCCCCTTTCCAGATTCTACGCATATGTTATACCATTTTTGTAATTTTGCAATTTTTTGCTGGGTGGATCCATGTTTGTGCACAAACCTATGAAAAACTCTTAGTGCATTACCAAAGCCAATACGCCCAAAACTGAAACGCATGATCAGCAAATAAGCATTTCATTTGCTCTATGCCATACGCGTGTATCCGCTGCAGCTGATAAACCTTGACTTTTTTTAAAACCGTCATGACACTCTTAAGTTTTTTGTGTACATTCTACTTGCGCATTGCATTTAGAGTACTCTTTCAACATTCAATCCATCTAATTTCATTATGTTTTACAAACACGCACATGAATTCAAAATGTCTGTGCCCAGGACGGCTTTAAAGCATCTCAACATGCAAGAATGAGGAGTTAGCACTCTAGTAATGTAATATAGCTCTATGCCGATAATGTAGTAGAATGCACTGTACTATCAGTCAATTGTTGTAACATTATCGGTCTTAACCAATAATGCAACATAAATTGACTGATATCATGGTTGGTGGTTATCCATTGGTTATTACATTATCAGTTAAAAAACAAAAAAATAATTCCCACCACTCATTGTCAGAGTGTCTGTGACGGTGTAAATACTATTTCACCAGAACCTGCGATCAGTGACTGATGATGCACCATTCATCGTCAGTGAGTCGGCAAGGGCGGATCCGGGGGGGGGGGGGGGGGGGGCCCAAAAAAAGAATCAATTTTTTTTGTCGCAATAAAGGCAGGCACTGCGGACACCACCATCTTTACTTAAAAAAAAAATTTGGGCACCAAATTCGTTTGGCCCCCTTCAAAAATATTGTCTTCTGGATCCACCCTTGTGAGTCA